ATTCGTAGAATTGCGGGGCGAGTAGAGACCAGCACGTGACCGAGAGCATCATCTACATCTGCCTACCTAACCCGCCTACCATTTACATCAGCTTCATACAGCATCGCCCAGGGATGCCGCGGGATTGGCCTGTGCAGTACAGCCGGCACGTACAAGTCCAGACGTGTGATCCACAGTTGTTGTTCTGGCTCGCCCACCACTCAGGCCCCAGGCTCACCCAGCTACCGCCCGCTCGCGGGCCCCCGCGACGGCTGCGACGCAGCCGCGCTGCGCGCGCGAGGCCGAAAAAGGCGCGGCGCAGGAGACCCCGCGCATGGGGTCGCGGACTTACGGCGCCCGCGCTACCTCACTACCATTCACGACCCCGCAGGATGCCAACAAATTGACCCAGATGCTTCACAAGGTACAGGCGGCGAAGCACAACAGCTACAACAACTCATGGGAAGTCAACTTCAAGATCCGCGACACCAGCACGGCGGTGAAGCGCCACCTGAAAAATGCCAGCACGCGCTGTTGATCTTCTGCAAAGCCTGCGGAGACTGAAAAGAGGACGCGGGTACCATCGACGGGCGCGCGGGGCCATTCGCGGCGAGTTCTACGACGTGGCGCCGCCCAGCCCGAACTTCTCGGCACAACGCCAATTGCGCGCGCGCGTGACGACGCGGGGTTACCTTGCCGAAATCAATATCACAGTCTATTACGACCGTACCCCGGATTTCCTGACCTCCTGGGCCCTTGCGACCGACCAGGTGGACGTCGGCCCTTGCTGAAGGACAATCTGCAGGCCGAGCTCGCCCAGAAGAAATGCAACTACGAGACCAAGTATCTGGGCCAGTTCGTCGCGCACAGCTACTGCGGTCAGAGAGCTGCCGCGCGCCGACCGCGGCCAACCCCCGCCACGGCCCCCTCACCTCCGACGCAGTGCACGACTACACCCGCGCGCGCGATGAGCACGGCGCCGACATGGAGGAGGGCAAGTGGAGGGGCGCGCAGGGCCACGATGTCGACTACAACCTCGCGCGCCGCACGGGCGCCGCCGTCGAGCTCCACCACGCCGCGGAGGACCCGGCGAAGCTGGAGGGCAAGGGCGCCAGGCGTGACAAAGCGGGGGGCACTACGACGGCGCGCCCGCAAAGTCCAGCGGCGACGACGACAACGCGGACAACGAGGGCGAGAAGGGCGCCGAAGACGACGAGAACGCCATTCGTCAGGACAAGCGCTCCAAGCCGTCCTGCGCGAGGCCGCCGTGTAACACGAGTGCCGCGGCGGGGGCGCCGACCGCTGCAAGTGCATCTCCTGTTCGGCCACCTGAGCAGAAAGCACGTCGACATAACTCCCCTACTCCGCGCCTCGTCATTACATCGGTACTCCACTGCGCCACTGGCAGCACTCGGCTTACTATCACGTGCACGTTAACGCAGGCACCATGCGACAACCGCGAGTTCGTGGACGCACTCTTCGTAAGCTGGACGCCCGCTTACCTGCCGACTCACACCGTATCGCCACACAGAATACACGCTACTAGGGTCATGCATCAGGATGTTGTTAGTTCAGCTACCCGACCAGAATAAATGGATTCAGTTCGTTAGAGAGGTAACCCAAACAGGTTTTGACAGACAGTATTTCAAGATCAGCGACATCGGAGACGCAGTGGGCCATCACTTCAAGGACCTCTACGACCAGCGCATTGACTATTACAGCGCCAAATCGCATCCAGGGTACAAGTGAGGTTACACTTGATGACTGCCACCGAAGACCACATAAAAAATAAGATTCACCACAACCCCTGCAAGATGGCACGCCACCTACAGCTACAACCTGGTGGAGATGCACCCATGCGACACGGCAGTTCCACTCCAGTACTAAATGCCGCGGGACTTGGAGAAGGGGGATTATGTCACGCTTGACATCGATTCGGGGGTACGTCCGATCGGCATGCTCAGAAGGAGATCGTTGCAAAACGATTTGGCCAGCAATACAACTTGGCCGCAGTCCAGTACACCAATCCAAAAGTCGGCAACGTGAACTACAACGAATGCGACTTGGGAAACGAACTTAAACTACATGACCAGACTACTGTCACAGGTGGTACTAAATATTCCGTGGACTTGATCGACCAGCATGGGAACCCGATCGCACAGGAGCATTACAAGACCAGCGGCCTGCCCTCCCCATCGGTTTCTCACAACAGGCGCAGCCGACAGACGATTCTATACGGATTCGCTAAGCGAGCGCGTGTGAGCACCCAGGAGAAGGACCATTAGACTCGCAATGCGAAATATTACGATCGTAATCATACGTCCGTACGCCGCTACTGATACCAAGCACAACATCACCGAAAGCCTATGACGTTACCCCGTCTACAGCGCTACAGACAGGGTCCGCCGTGCGCAACGTTACTCGCAGGGTACGCCGTCTTCGGCATGAACATCCAGATTGGATGAGTGGCCCCGCCATCCTCCTCCTCCTCCTCCTCCTCCTCCTCCCCCTCCTCCTCCTCCTCCTCCTCCTCCTCCTCCTCTCTCCTCCTCCTCCTCCTCCCCCCCTCCTCCTCCTCCTCCTCCTCCTTGTGGGATCGGCAAGCTCCCCCCCTCTCTTCCTGCCCGCCCCCCCATGCGGATAGGGTGGGCCGCCCCGCCCCGCGCGCGCGGCGGGTGCAGAGCGGTTCGGTGGGCACCGCGTTCAGCAGCTGCGCAGAGGAGGAGAGGAGGAAGAGGAGGAGGAGGAGGAGGAGGAGGACGAGGACGAGGACGAGGACGAGGACGAGAACGAAGAGGACGAGGAGGACCAGTGTAAACCTGAGAGTCATCAACGATGTTTGGAATAAGCCACTCCCTCCAAGCTTCCTCTTCACAGGCCCCCACAACGGTTCATTCCCACTGAGGGAAGTGCCCGAAGACAACCGCTTGAGAAACCTGAAGCGTGCCACAACAGATCAACCAGACTGTTGCGTCTTGACGATCCCGAGTCGCGCCAGAACGCCGTCCTTGGGATTGCAGCGCCGCGAATCAAAATAACCGCTGCGCCCAGCATAGCCCTGAATCTTTCCAGAACCTAATTTCTGGTACTTTGACCATGGGAATCCGTGAAACTCTTGCCACTGGTCAAGTCGATGCGCGCATCGCTAAGGCGACAACCACAATTGGGAAACGAACCGCCCTCAATCCGCGAAGCTATTGGACATGTTGAAAACGATTGCGCGCGGCCCGCCCTCAATCCGTGAAGCTCTGGCAAATGTTAAAAACGAGTGTGCGCGGCGTTCAGGCGAGAGCCACGTTTTGAAAACGACCCGCCCTCAATCCGTGAGATTCTTACACAGGGTCAAAACGAATATGCGCGGCGCTAAGGCGAGAATCACATTTTGAAAACGACCCGGCCTCCATCCGCGAAACTCTTGCAATTTGTAAAGCGAATGTGCGCGGCACGAAGGCGAGAGCCACATTTTGAAAATGACCCGCCCTCAATCCGTGAAACTCCAGTAATAGTTTAAAGCGAATGCGGGCGGCGCTGAGGCGAGAACCACATTTTACAAACGACCCGCCCTCCATCTGTGCAACTGTTGTTAAGTTTTAACTTTCAGGGTCATGAATGGTGAGGAAGTGTCAGGCGAAATGCCCGGCCCGCCTTTTCTACCAGCCTCGGGGTGCGACAGGGAGAGTTTATTCCCTACCTAGGCTCTGCCTAGAAGGGTTCTTACTCTGAGGCTTAAAGGGCCGGGCAGTGGGGCACGCCCCGGGCGGTTCCCCCGGCATCCGCCCCGCGGTTCCCCCAGTGACGTTCCCTTAGCTTCGCGTTGCTTATCTCATCTTAGCTTAGCTTATTTCATCTTACCTTAGCTTAGCTTCATATTACCTCAGTTTTATCTCAGCCTAGTTTGCCTTCATCTTGGCTTCGCTGAGCTTTAGCATAGCAGAGCACAGCAGCATAGCATAGCGTAGCGTAGCATAGCGCAGCATCGCATATCATAGCATAGGTCGTAGCATAGCGCAGCATCTATATAGCAGCATAGTTAGCTAGCATAGCGCGCTTAGCGCATAACATAACAGCATAGCGCAGCATAGCATAGCATGCATAGCATTAGCAGCAGCATAGCATAGCATAGCATGCATAGCATAAGCGCCGGGCAGTGGGGCTCGCCCCGGGCCGTTCCCCCGGCATCCGCCCCGCGGTTCCCCCAGTGACGTTCCCTTAGCTTCGCGTTGCTGATCTCATCTTAGCTTAGCTTATTTCATCTTAGCTTAGCTTAGTTTCATGTCATATTAGCTTAGCTTAGCTTCATATCAGCCCAGGTTTATCTTAGCTTAGCTTACCTGTGCTCTGCCCGCTCGGATTCCCGCCTAGTGTAGATGTAGATGTAGATGTAGGTGTAGGTGTAGAAGTAGATGTAGATGTAGGTGTAGATGTAGGTGTAGATGTAAATGTAGATGTGAGTCTCGCTGTTGATGTTGATGTAGATGTAGATGCAGGTGTAGATGTTAATGTAGCTGTCGGTGTAGATGTAGATGTTGCTTTCCTAGATGCTCCAACTCCTAGGTAGGGTCGCACTGGGATAATTTATATGGAAATCAGAATAGAGGAAGAGGAGGAGGAAGAGTAAGAGGAGAAGGAGGAGGAGGAGGCGGAGGAGCAGGGGGCGAGGAGGAGGAGGAGGCGGAGGAGGAGGAGGAGGAGGAGGAGGAGGGCAAGCAGGGTGAGGAGAGGAGGAGGGTAGGAGGAGGAGGAGCCGCGTCGGAGGAGCTGCGGAGAGAGGAGCTGCGGAGAGAGAAGGAAGGAGGAGCTGCGAAGAAAGGAGGAGGACGAGGAGGAGGAGGAGGGCGACGAGGAGGAGGAGGAGGAGGAGGAGGAGGGAGGAGGAGGAGGAGGAGGAGGAGGGAGGAGGAGGAGAGGAGAGGAGGAGGAGGAGGAGGAGGACGAGAGGAGGAGGAGGGGTGGAGGAGAGAGGGCGAGGAAGGTGAGGAGGAGCCGCCGTCGGCCCGCGTCGCCGCCGATGCCCCCCTGAGGCAGCCTCGCGGAGATCGAGGCCTGCTACGTCGAGCCCGAGGGGCCCGACGCCGAGCAGGACAACAGGCAGGGCCGCCTGCGACTGGGCTTGATGCGGTTCGAGCCGCTGGCCAGGGCCACGATTCCGATTCCGATTCGGTTCGGTTCGCGTCGTCTTCCTCTTCCCTCCCTCACTCTCTCCTTCCCTCCCTCCCTCCCTCTCTCCCTCCTCCTCCTCCTCCTCCTCCTCCTCCTCCTCCTCCTCCTCCTCCTCCTCCTCCTCCTCCTCCTCCTCCTACTCCTCCAGTCGCCGGCATCGGCCAGGGTCAGCCGGAGCTGGGCGCGGCAATCCGATTTCGATCAGGTCCAAGACGATTTTTGGGGTGTTTTGATCCATTACCGATCCGATCCAGTTTACAGGAGCGCCTTTCGGCGACGGGTCGTGCTCTTCCGTGAGATCCAGGCGTTGCAGTTTTGTTCACGCCGAGCGTCTGCGATGTTCGGGCCTGGACGTCCTCACGAGTCGGTCCCGCTCGAGGAGCGCCGCAGAAAGATGGAGTCTACGGGCAGGAACTTAGCGCGTCGCACCGCCCGTTCTGATCCACCACGCTTCGGCGCGACACGTTATCCGCGTGCCAGTCCCCAAGCGTCAACGGCTCGAGTTTTGCACGAGCCAGCAGGATGGCACCAGAGGCTGCAGGCGTGATTTCCCACGCTGTTGAATTTGTCAGCCACGCGCAGAGGGGGGTAGGGGGAGGGGGGAAGGCTTCTTAGAAACACCCCTGCTTCTAACAAGGCGCGGGTCTCATCTGTGGATGTAGGACCGGCGCCTTCTAAGAAGCCTCCCCCCCTCCTCCGGTAGATGGACAATATTTTCGAACCCTCACACATTCGAGGGAGATTCTAAATCACCCCCACGCCCCCGACATCAATGTTGATCTCAGCAAAGGCAGCGCTTTGGGGTTCGAAGACTCCTGCCCACGCACGCCCCCCCCCCCGCCGTCAGGCCATCGATATTCATTTTTCGGGGGGTCTGGGGGGCACCTTGGGCCACAGGGTTCGAATCTAAGGTCCATGTCCGCTCCCACCCCCCTCCCTCCCCCGCTCCGCGCTACCACGCCGCCGCTTCAGAGGCGGCCCAGCTGGTGAGCGCGGCGACCAGCGGCGCCAGCCACGCCTGCCGAGGGGGAGGATCATGTTGCATCTTCGGGGAACCTTGCCGGTCCCGTCGCGCCCCTGTCCGCGCCGAATCTGTGCCGAGTCCATGTCGGGCTCGTCGAGTCGGTGTCGAATCCGTGCCGAATCCGTCTCAGACCCCCGCTCTGCGAGGTGGAGGAGGATGAGGAGGAGGAGGACAAAATGAAGGAGGAGGAGGAGGAGGAAGAGGAAGAGGGGAGGGGGAGGGGAGAGGAGGGGGGAGGAGGAGGGGAGGAGTAGGAGGAGGAGGAGGAGGAGGAGGAGGATGAGGAGGAGGGAGGAAGGAGGAGGAGGAGCGGCCCCGTGCGGGGCGCGCTCGGGGGAGGGGGCCCGCCAGCGCGCCTCGCGGCACCTCGGCGGCCTTGGCGGGCGGAGGCAGAGCGGCGGCGCGGTCCGCTGGCGGACGGGTCCTCCTTCTCCTCCTCCCCCTCCTCCTCCTCCGCCTCCTCCTCCTCCTCCTCCTCCTCCTCTCCTCCTCCTCCTCCTGATGCCTCCTCCTACTCCTACTCCTCCTCCTCCTCCTCCTCCTCCTCCTCTCCTCCTCCTCCTCCTCCTCCTCCTCCTCCTCCTCCTCCTCCACTCCTCCTCCTCCTCCTCCTCCCCCTCCTCATCCCTCCTCCCCCCCTCCCCCTCCCCCTCCCCCTCCTCCCCTCCTCCCCCTCCTGACGCCTCCTGACGCCTCTCCCCTCCTCCTCCTCCTCCTCCTCCTCCTTCTCCCCCTCCTCCCCCTCCTGACTCCTCCTCCTCCTCCTCCTTCTCCTCCTCCTCCTCCTCCTCCTCCTCCTCCTCCTCCTCCTCCTCCTCCTCCTCCTCCTCCTCCTCCTCCTACGGCGGGAGTGAAGTGACAGGCGGCGAGCCCAGGGGGGGAATGCAGATCATCATCGGCGACGAGCAAGGGGGGAAGCAAGAAGAAGAGGGCCTTCTCAGAAGGCTGCCCGGGGCTTCTCAGAAGCGCTCTGGTATTCTGAGAAGTTTTCTGTGCCCTCGAGAAGGCGTAGAACACTTTTCAGAAGGCTGGGGACTTCCGAGCCTTCTGAGAGGGCCCGCTCTTATTCACTTTCCCCCAGGCTCGCCGCCGACTTTGAGCGTAATGAACCCCTACAGTCCGAACTGATAGTAAGGATGCGCGATAGGATGCAAGCCCCTTGAAAGCCCATGTCGAAGCTTGTCGATCGGGGCTGGTCATCAAAAGGTGCTAAGGATGGACCTACGATACAAGGATGCAAGGGTAACCTTGGGAAGGTTACCCAACCTTGTTGTCGGTTTCGACTGCAACCCTGATGACAGAATGAACTCGTGGCCAACCCTAGTTCCTCGGTTTTCAGGGTTATCCCTAGACAGGCTGTTGGTTTCCCTATCCCTACTTTTCTAGCCCTCCTAACTTAGGTCCCCTGCCACAGGATTTGGGGTACTTTCATTGCTTATTAGCAGAGGGGACGGGCCTTCTCAAAAGGCTCGGAAGGCCTCTGGCCTCTGAGAAGTTGTCTAAACCCTCTCCCCAAGACATCGGGCGGCCGGCGTCGATTTTGGACCCAGGAATGGTACGGTGCATAGTCCTTCGACCTTGAGATCGACAGCGAGCGAGGGGGGGAAGTGAGAAGGAGAAGGCCTTCTTAGAAGGTTCAGAAGTCCCCCGGCCTTCTGAGAAGTTATCTAAGCCTTCCCCGAAGACAAAGAAGACTTCTCAGAAGTCGCGAGGGCTTCTGAGAAGTCCCGCCGCCTTCTGAGAAGGCCTTCTCCTTCTCATTTCCCCCCCTCGCTCGCCGCCGATGAGTGCCGAAGGCTTATGCACCGTACCGCGTTGGAGCGGGGCCCGAAGGGAATCCAAGCACGGTGCGGTGCATCTGGGCGCCGTCCTCGCATGGAGGGTTTCCGGAATCGGCCGTGCCGAGTTCGCCGGCCGATTCTGATCGTTTGGGAGCTTCTGGTCGGCGGCGGACGAGGGGGGGAAATGGGAAGGAGAAGGCCTCCTCAGAAGGCGGCGGAACGTCTCAGAAGCCCTCGCGCCATCCGAGAAGCTGTTGTTGGTCCTCGGGGAGGGCTTAGAAAACTTCTCAGGAGGCCGAGGGACTTCCGAACCTTCTGAGAAGGCCTTCTCCTTTTCACCTCCTTCCTCCTCCTCCTCCTCATCATCCTCCTCCCTCCTCATCCTCTCCCTCCTCCTCCTCCTCCTCCTCCTCCTCCTCCTCCTCCTCCTCCTCCTCCTCCTCCTCCTCCTCCCTCCTCGCTCCTCCCTCGGCCTCCTCCTCCCTCCTCCTCCTCCTTCACTTCCCCCCCCCCGCGCGCCGCCGATCCGGGGGTGGAGCGCGACGGGCTCCGCGGCGGGCCTCTGGGGGGCGGCGTCGTTCTCGGAGGCTCTCGGGGTCTGTGCGGGCCCCGGGCGGAGTTCCTGTGCGTCGCGTGTGTCGGGGGCGGGGGGGCTTAATTAGTGGGCCCTGGAAACGACAGGCCCGTTTTTGTTACCAGTTCCGTTTTGCCGTTTTTTTGCCGGTTCCGACGCCTTTTTTTACCGGTTCCGTCGCCGTTTTTTGACCGGTTCCGGCTCCGGCTCCAATCCTGGAGCCGTTTTTACGCCGTTCCCGGTCGCCGTTTTTTTGCCGCTTCCATTTTGAAAGGGCACTTTTTTGGAAACGGTGAAAAAACGGCCCTGCCGTTTCCGGGGCCCACAAAGCGGGGGGGGCTGTTCGCAGGGTGGTGACTCGGGTTGGGGGGGGGGGAGAGATCAGAGAGAGGGCCTCGATGTCTCCCCAGATCTCGTGGCGCCTCTGCGCCGGTTCCCCCTCGTCCGCGCACATGCCTCGGGCCACGACTTGCGAGCCCCCCTCTTGGACACCCCCCTCTTGGGCGCCCCCCGTGTGTGGCTTGTTGCCCTGATCTTCCTGGCGGGAGAAGGGCTATGATGTTCCAACCTACTTTTGCCTTGACCACCAGAAAGAATTTCGAGCACTAAGAAAGTACCGAAACTGGAGGGCTTTCACCTGGGAGGCGATACTCTTCGACACTGTTTCAATACTTCTCTGAGCGCTCGAAATTATTTCTGGGATGTGGACCTTGAGCACGATGGGAACAACGTAAGAGAAGGGATGGGGCCGAGGATTGTGGACCCCCACGCCGTGAGCAGGTCAGGAAGTTGGAGGCATGGCGCTCTGTGGGGAAAGCATGGACGAAACAAGAGCCTGTCGAGCAGGAGGAGGAGGAAGAGGAGGAGGAGGAGGAGGGAGAGGAGGAGGAGGAGGGAGAGGAGGAAGGAGAGAGGAGGAGGAGGAAGAAGAAGGAGGAGGAAGAGGAGGAGGAGGAAGGAGGGAGAGGATGGAGGAGGAGGAGGGAAGGAGGAGGAAGGAGGAGGAGGAGGAGGAGGAGGAGGAGGAGAGGAGGAGGAGGAGGAGGAGGAGGAGGAGGAGGAGAGGAGGAGGAGGAGGAGGAGGAGGAGGAGGAGAAGGAGGGCAAGGCTGAAGGTGCAGTCCTGGAGGACGGATTTCGGACGGGGCTCTGATCGCTCCGTGGCCTGGGCCAGCCGGGGGGGGCCTCCAAACATGGAAAATTTGGAAAGTTTGGTCGGTTTCGGTGGGGGGGGCTATCTCTTCCAAATGCAGTTTTCCCGAACAAGCACCGGCACCTGTAGCTGTTTGGCTGAAGCCATTTAGGCTCAAGGCGCTCTGGCTCGGCTGGAGAAGGAGGAGGAGGAGGAGGAGGAGGAGGAGGAGGAGGAGGAGGAGGAGGAGGGGGTGGAGGAGGAGGATGAGGAGGAGGAGGGGAAGCAGAGGAGGAGGAGGAGGAGGATCAAGGAGGAGGAGGAGGATCGAGGAGGAGGAGGAAGAGGAGGAGGAGGGGAGGCTGCCAGCCACTCGCGTTGTTGAATGAAGCACGGCGCGCTCGGCGGGCAGTTGCCAGCTGGGGCTGTAATGGTGGCACACGACTATCCGCCCACATCGGCCGATGTGTCTCGTGTCTGTGGTGGGCTCCCTAAACTTGGGGACAGATCCGCCGTTGATACGCCGATGTGTCTTTCGGGAGGAGAAGTGGTTATGAGTCTCGCAGTGAATGTCAATTTGGCGAACGTTCTTCCTGCGACGTCTTGATACCTTGCATCACGTGCAACCGTTGGGGTAGACGAGGGTATTCGGGAGAACATGGCCGTGTCGTATACGATTAGAAAGTGTGGGCAATGCTTATGTGATGCTTGCCTGTGCGATGCAAACACCTGGTGTGTATCTCGTGTACGCGATGGTTGTCGAAGTGCGACGTGTCTTGACTTCACTTGTTGCTAGAATGATTGAAAATGAAGCACAGGTCGAAGAAAGTGATTACGCGTCGAGGAGTTGATGCATTATTGCAGCAGTTCCCTGAAGTGATCAGAGCGCAGAAGTTGCTGGACATGCAGCGAGCAGAAGCTGGACAAATTGGAAAGCCGTACCTGTATGCCAGCTGGCTCTGTGTGGTGTCTACTGCACGATGGGGGATATCTCCGCGGTGGTGCAGAGCTCGCATGTTTGCAACAAGTGTGACAGCATCACATGTTAGGAGTGCGTTGCCAGCCGTGCCTCCTGCCAAACGACGCTTCGTCGGACGTGTCAGGCTGCCACCCCCGTGGAGGATGGGTGGTGGGTGTTCGATGGCGGCGTCGCTGTGCCCTGCGCGGCACGCGGCACGATGCTTTGGAAAGTGGGCGAAGTAAGCATTGCCGACATGTCATGCGGTGTTGGCGACGGGTGCCCACAGAATGGGCCATGGTGTGCACCGCGTGGTGCTAAAAGCATGCAGTGCACCGGTTGCCGTCGGCGCGGTTGTTCTTGACACGCCGATGATGTTGCGCACAGCCCATGACACCCAGACTGCGTCCCGACGTCAGTTTGCGAGGCACGTCGGTCTGATGCAAATGTGCCCCGAGTTCGATTCGCGGTGTGCAATCACGCTGCGCGCGCACAACGCCAAGCAAAGAACTAGCATATGCGGATGTCCACTTGTGAATGTTGCGGGATTGTGTTCTGCAAGCATTTTCCATAATGTAAGAGGCAGAAGAACATACTCAGGGCATCTGGTGCACGATGTCATCCAGGACTGTAGAAACACCATCGATTCAGAGGCGGTGGAGCGACGGAACACATTAAAACCAAGTGCACGAATTGTGTTGGGCACTATTGTGCGCTCTTTTGCTTGCTTCATGATAGCAAAAGTGAAACGCTGTCGCCTTGAGGTTGCCGAGATGCAACACCCAAGCGCCAAGGGAAACGCGATGCCGCGCCAAAGCGAGGGAAGGGCATGGACATATGGCATGTCAGCCCACTTGAGACATAAAGTCCAGTCAGGATGGATGCAACCTGCACAGATTCACGGATGGATGCAGCGTTCAGGGTTTGATCAATGCATTACGGTGAAGTGCCAAACAACCAGAGGATGTTCCACAAATGCGTGTTTCTGAATGTTCCAGAAGTGTGTATTCCTGAAATGATTTGGACCACCGGCATTCGGAATTGCCGTAATTACCAAATGGCACGACACGTGTTACGCAATCGTTATGGAAGTCAGTGTCAAGCCGCCGCGGTCTTGGAAGCATATGTTCAACGCATGGGCCAGGTGTAACATTGCATTCCCGCCGCCACTATTGTGTGTATGGCACTTGGACGTGCCCATACTGTTCCGCAACACCGCCTCGAACGGTGCACTAGCGTGGCGACAATTTACGATGCCACCTCCGACCAGACCACCTGCGCGATGTGTGAAGGCAGGCTGTGATGAGGAAGATTCGGAGTATTATGTACGTTGCCCCGACTCTTCTTTATGCATGCAGTTTGTGCGGAGGTGCATGCATACTGTTCTCGGCCGTGTTAGTTCTGCCATGAGCGCAGATGGTGTGCAGTTCGGCCTTCGGCTGGATATCCGCCCCCATAGCGTTATCAAGTGATCGTAGGAAGCGTATACAGCACAAACGCGGAATGGGGAGACAGAGATCTCACAATGGAGGTCGAGGTGTCAATTTGGTGTTTGGCAGGGGCGGGGCTCTCTGGCCCCCGCCAGGGCTCTGGCTGCGACCATAGACCCGCGGGAGCGCCTACAGCAGTTTACAGGACCCCCTGGAATCCTTGTCCCCAACCCTCTGTCCCTCCCACACGTCCTTCCTCCCTCCTCGCCCCCCCCCTGGAGGCCCCTGGGTGCCCAAAGACGCTCAAATCCTCGACCCGTCCCTCCCTTTCTCCCTCCTCCTCCCTCCTTCATCCTCCTCCATCATCTAGTCGTCCTTTCTCCTCCGTCCTCCTTTTGCGTACAATTTACTCAGTATGAATCGTGTTCTCCTCTGTCCCTGGATGCTGAGCAAGCGTGCGCCGTCTCTCCCACGTATGACTTCTGATCGCACACACATACACAGGAGTTCAACAGTTGATGGCTCAGAATTGTTCATCTAATCTGAACATTGGCTGTTTCCGATGTCACGGTGGCCGCAGTTCGAGATCGGCGCCGGGCTCCCGTCGCTCAGAATGATGTTTTGTTCCCCCAAAGGTGGGCCAAACTTGTGGCGGCGGTTCGTTATTCATCGCTGGCGCCCCCTGCTTCCCCTTCCTCCGCCTTCCCCTGCTCCTCCTGCTCTGTTTTTGGCCGCTGATGCTACTCCTCTTCCTCCTGCTCATCCTCTCGTTCATCCTCGGAAACTGGAACATATACATTACCAATGGCGGGCTGTTTTGTAATCCCAGGACTTCTTGAGGGTCGAGGACGACGCTGGGGTGGTGTGGTGTATAATTTGTCCCCCGATGTTCCGAGGAAACAACGAAAAATGTGTACACCAGGGTCCCGTATACACCAAGATCCGTTCTCCAGTGCAAATGCCAATGCAGGGTCCGAAGAAGCGTCGGTGTATAGAGTTCGATTCTCTACATCCGCCACCTTTCCCTCCTCCTGATCCAGGGTGCACAGCTCCAAGCTCGGGCTGCGCATCACGCGGCGGTGTCCCTCTGGAGACCCAGGTGTGCGCGGACACCCGTCGGCGGATGGAGCCGCTTCGGCGCAGTGGGCAGCGATGGGTGGCAGGGATAGGATGCCAGAAATGACTCGCGCGCCAGATCTGGAAGCACTGACTTCTATTCGAGCAACAAACAAGCAACCACAGAAACAGCCAAGCAAGCAAACAAACAAACAGCACTCGCACACACGCACATACACAAACACACACACACAAGCACATCACCACAACCAACAAGCGTGCGCGCTCGCATAGCTTGCCCCTGCCTCTCACTCCTCACTCCTCCTCCCTCCTCGAGGGGAGGGAGACTCAAGGAGAGGGGAGGGGGATAGATGATGATGATGATGATGATGAGGAGGAGGAGGAGGAGGAGGAGGAAAAAGAAGAAGGGGGAGGAGCAGAACGAGGAGGGAGGAGCAGATGGAAGACGAGGAGGGGGAGGAGGAGGAAGAGGAGGAGAAGGTGGAGGAGGACATGGATAGCAAGCACGATACAAACGCTGTTGTAGGGGTAGCCGTCTGGACGTCGCCCCGAGCACTGGCATGCGCCAGTGCCGGCCCAGGGCCCCGTCAGGGAAGGCAGCGCCGTCGTCGTCGCCAGCCGGCTCGCGGTCCATAACGCGGGCCTCCGGCGGCCCTTCGAGGCGAGGGGGCAAACCCCGGGCGCACCCCGACGAGGCGCGGCTGATAGGAAGCACCCCTGGGTTCGAACACCTCGAAAAGCGGCCATTCGAGACGAGGAGGGCACCCCTGGACGCATCTCGACGAGGCGCAGCTGACAGAAAGCACCCCAGGGTTCGAACACCTCGAAAACAACAAAACTCCGAAAACCTTAGAAAACTTCCTTCCCGTGGCTGGAATTTGCGCACGTCCACCGCTTGGGGGGCGGATCTTCCTGGGCCTCGGGAGGCGTTGGTTTTGAGCAGATGGATATGTAACGATCCTTGCCTTGCGTCTTTCCTCCTCGGCCTCCTCGCCGTCATCTTCTGCAGGCGATCCCTCCCTCCCTCGCTCCTTCCTGGAGGAGGAGGAGGACGAGGAGAAGAAGAAGGAGGAGGAGGAGGAAGAGGAGCAGGCGGAGGAGGAGGAGCAGGAGCAGGAGCAGGAGGAGAAGCAGGAGGAGCAGGAGGAGCAGGAGGAGGATGATGATGAGGAGGAGGAGGAGCAGCAGGAGGAGGAGGAGGAGCAGGAGGAGAGGGAGAGGGTGAGCAAGAGGGATAGGGACACGGAGGAGCGGGAGGAGTGGGAAGAGAGAGAGAGAGAGGGAGGAGGAGAGGGAGAGGGAGGGGGACAGGGAGAGGGAGAGGGGGGCGGGAGGCTCCCTCCTCCCACTCCTCCTCGCCTCCTCGCTTCCTCCCCTCCCCGTCTGGCGGGCCTGCGGGGTCCCCCCCCCCCCCCCCCCCCCCCCCCCGCCCTCCCCGTGGCCTCCCGGTGGGTCCTCCATGGGGGGGTGGGCGCCGCGACAGGGGCATGCTCCAGAGGGTGGACGGCCTCCTCTTCGAGGCCCGCGCCCACAGGGGGGTGGAAGAAGGAGAGCCTTCGAGCAGGAGATCGACTGCAGAACTGATTGACCCAAGGTCTCCACCGAATCTGCAGACGATGTGGTGGAACGTTCGCAGATCTACGAGCACTGTACACCAACACCGATCCTGGCCCAGGATCACCCTGGGCCCATGATCGGTGTATATGCCTTCTTGCCCAAGGCAGGAGGGCGTAGACACCGATCCTGGGCCCAGGGTGGTCCTGGCCAGGATCGGTGTTGGTGTATAGTTGGCGCCTTCCTAAAGGAGAGCCTTCGAGCAGGAGATCGACTGCAGAACTGATTGGCCCCAGGTCTCCACCGGAATCTGCAGACGCTGTGGTGGAACGTTCGCAGATCTACGAGCATTACACGTGCTGTTCTGTAGACTCGGCGAGAACAGTTTGGGATAATTCTGCGGTGCTTCAGTTCTGCATTCGATATCATACTCGAGCGTCCAAGGGGAGTCGAATAAGAAGAAGAACTTGCACACGCACACACACACACTCACACTCACACACACACACACACGGTCGGGGATTTTTGGATAGCGTATCGCTCCGCCAGTTCTGACCCATCGCTCGCTGGAGCGACGCGCTATCCACGTCCCCACTCCCAAGCGTCAGCGTGCTGGGGCCGCTGGGGCGACGCGCTCAGCAGAAGCTCCCGACCGTGAACTTGCGGAGGTCCGGCAGCTCACGCTTAGGCTTCTTCTTCTTCTTCTTCTTCTACGGAGGAGGGACGGGGGAGGGTGACCCTGACATCCCCGCGTCGCGGAAACTACCAGGCGATCGCAAACACGGATCCAGGGAGCGTGGATTGGCGACGGGCCCCACTTCCGTGGGCAATCGCGGATCCCCGCCGCCGAACGAGGCGGCGCCGGCCGCAGTCTGGGGAGGGCACCTCTCCCGACCCATGGATGTGGCGACCGCGCGCCAGATCCATGGATCGGTAGTCCATGTGTTTGCGCGCCCCCGAAACTTGCACGACGGACGTTTCTGTCCTCTTGCCTTCCTCGGGGGGGGGGGGCCTTGGTCGGACTCAGGGCCGTGAGGAGACGGCGCAGGGCGAGAGTCCAGTCCGGGGGAAGGGGTCGAGGCCTCCACGCGTCCACGCTGCAAAAAAGCACGACGTCGGAGGTATGGGGAGGACGACGACGCCGACGAGAAAGAGGGGGGAGGAGATGGAGGAGGAAGGGGAGAAGGAGAACGAGGAGGAGGAGGAGGAGGAGGAGCAGGAGACGGAGGAGGAGGAGGAGCAGGAGGAGGAGGAGGAGCAGGAGACGGAGGAGGAGGAGGAGCAGGAGGAGGAGGAGGACGAGGAGGAGGAGGAGGAGGAGGAGGACGAGGGGGAGGAGGAGCGAGGAAAAGGGAAGCCAGGCGCGCTCGCGCCGCATTTGACATCCTACCTCTCCCACCCATCCTTCCCCACTGCGCAGACGTTTCTCTTTTTCTCTCTCGCTATTCCTGCTTGTTGAGGAGGAGAAAAAAACACACAGGCACAATTAATCGTCGATTTCCCAGAAAATATTGGAAAGTATGGGCAGTGGGGGGGGAGACAGAAACCAGAAAATATGGGAAAATATGGGAGATCCTTTTTATTAGTGTGTATTTATTTGCGTGTCCCAGGGCCCCTTCATTTACATACTTGTATAGGGCCGGGGATCCCGGACAGACCCCGGGCGAAGCCCCCCCCCCAACAAAAAAACGAGTTTCGGGTTTCCTCCAGATTTTCGGGCGGTCCCAGAGGCGCCCCAGACGGCCCGAGATATTCCCAAGGGTCCACGAGCGCTCCAAGACAGCCCAAGAGCGCTCTAAGAGATCCCAAGACCGCCCAAGACCGTCCAAGGGGGCCCCAAGAGGCTCCCCAAGAGGCTCCCCAAGAGGGCCCCAAGAGGGAAATGTAATTGATTTTTGTATGGTTTTCAAATGTTTTCCTGGTTCTCCCCTTTCGGGCCAACATCAGCCGAACTGGCCCAAGAGGCTCCAAAGATCGCCCCAAGGTAGCCCAAGAGACCCCCCAAAGAGCCCGAAATCGATCCAAGAGAGTCCCAAGACAGCCCAAGAGGGCTTCAAGACGGGCCCAAGAGAGCCCCAAGAGCGCCCATAGAGGCACCCAAGAGGGCCCCAAAACGGCGCCAGGAGAGCCCCACGACGGCCAAAGGCTTCCAAGACGCCCCAAGACGGCTCAAAAGGGCCCCGAGACGACCCAAGAGAACCCCAACAGGGCCCTCAAAGGGATCCAAAAGGGCCCCAAGAAGACTCCCACAAGGCCCCCAAACGCTACATAACACCAGGGATCCCAACACTGAGCTTCAATGGCACCCCCAGAAGCCTTCCAATCTTTCTTTTCCTCTATCCTTCTTTTCTCCGTCTCCCTCCTTCTCTTCCCCGTTATCCTCCTGTTCCTCCTCCTTCTCTGTATACTCTCTGCTCCTCCTCCCCCTCCTCGTATTTTGTCGCTCCTGCTCCTCCTCCTCCTCTTCCTCCTCCTCCCCCTCCTCCTGATCCTCTTCATGTTCCTCTTCCCCACCCCAACGTCGTAGCCGACGTCGTAGTCATCGTCGTTTTCATCGTCATCGTCGTCGTCATCGTGGACGTCGTCGTCGTCGTCGTCGTCCTCGTCGCCCCTGTCTCGACCGGCCCGCCGTCTCGGCCGGCCCGCTGGTTCAGCTCGGCTCGGCTCGGGTTGGCGGCGAAGGAGCGGAAAATGAAGGATGAGGGAAGGAAAGGATAGGGAATGGAAGACATTGTCAGATCGACAAACACGAAAACGGCAACAAGGCGTTACATATCGCTTTATTTAACTATGTACATATCTGTCATCCCGCCTGCTTGCTCAACTTGCAGGACCATGGTAGTATGGCCACTTTCGCTTGAGACCCTCGCACCTTTGAGTTGCGAGATGCCGGGAGCAGCTGGTCAGACCACTACCGCCTGAGATGCGCATGTGCATGCGCACTCATATTTACACAGACCATTTGCATATACATGTACATACCAATACACACGTATATCGGAGAGTCCTGACGGCCGGCGCCGCCGACCCTGATCGAAAGGGCTAGGAGTGGGGGGAGGAAGCGGAGGATGATGATGAGGAGGAGGAGGAGGATCAGGAGCAGGAGGAGGAGGACGAGGAGGAGGAGGAGGAGGAGGAGGAGGAGGAAGAGGAGAAGGAGGAGGGGGGGGAGGAGGAGGAGGAGGAGGAGGAGGAGGAGGAAGAGGAGGGGGAGGAAGTGCATCCCTTGGGTGCCCGCTCGAAGACAGTGCGCCCCGGGGGTGTGATATTCTGACTGGGGACGTGCTCCCGGAAAAGGAAAATGCGCCCTAGGGGGGTGGCATTTTGACTCGGGGCCCGCCCCCGGGACGCCTCTGCGGGAGGAGGAGGAGGAGGAGGAGGAGGAGGAGGAGGAGGGGGAGGAGGAGGAGGAGCAGGAGGAGAGGAGCAGGACGAGGAGGAGGAAGAGGAGGAGGAGGAGGAGGAGGAGGAGGAGGAGGACCAGGAGGAGGACCAGGAGGAGGAGGAAGTGCATCCCGCGCGTGCCCGCTCGAGGAAAGCGCGCCCCGGCGGGCGTCGCATCTGCCCCGCCCCCCCCCCCCCCTCTGCGGGGAAGGGATCAAAGGGAAGGGGCTTCCCTTCGACTCCACTACGACGTCGTTCAATTTCGCTTTGGATAGCGCGCCAGAGGAGGAGAGCCCGGGGGGGGGGAGAACGGAGACGACGGAGACGACGAATCGAACGGAAAAGCCCCTCACACACGCCGACAGGGTCGGCGGATTTATATGCACATATGTTGTACGTTTCCATAGGCGCATGTGCATGCGCGCATGCACGCACGCACGCACTCCACTAACGTGCGAAACTCTAAAAAAAGACCAAGGTGCATGGCGCGCAGCGCCAGCGGATTTGGAACCCCCAAAAAGACCGAATTGCGCCAGGCGCGATCACAAAAGGGGAGCTGCGCGCGTCGGATCAGGAGGTGGCAGAGGAGCAGGCGAATGAGCAGGAGGAGGAGGAGGAGGAAGGATGAAGGAGAGGACGAGGAGGAACAGCAGCAGCAGGAGCAGGAGTGGGAAAAGCGGGACGAGCAGGATGACCAGGGGAGGGCGGGGGACCACAAAGGAGCGGGGCGACAACGACGGGGAAGCAGTCGGATTCAGAAAAGTTGCCCGTTCCGCGGCGAGAGCGCCATTTTGAACGATGGGATCACAGCGCCCATCCTAGAATGAGGCCGACGTTGCAGCAGAAGCACCGTGTTGGGACACCGTAGACGCACGCTTCATTGGAACAAACACAAGAGAACAGCAGCAGTTTGAAATCCGGTGTTTTTCCCAGAGAACAAAGAGAATGCGGAGGGGGAGAGCGACTCCCCGACCATCTTCGGGGGAGAGGAGAGTAGTACCCGCGTTGGTTGAGCAGTTGTAGAGGGAGGAGGGGGAGAGGAGGAGAAGTGATGGGGGAGGAGGGAGGTGGACTACAGGCAAGGTTCGTTTCGATTTTTCCGATTCGATTCGATTCGATGTCGATGGCTTCCGATTCCGATCCGATTCGGCCTGGGATTCCGATTTGGGCTCCGGTTTTTTCCATGGAGGCCTGCTATGCTGCCGATCTCCGCCGATTCGACTTCTCCCGACCTGGCTGCCGATTTCCGCCGATCCGATTCATGCCGATCGCAGGTCAGACTTCTCGATTCGATTATGGTCTCTCCCGACGGGGGTTACGGCCGTCGCGCAGCGACATGAACCTTCACCGCTCAGCCTGAGGTCGAGGGTCAGCAATGAGCTTCTCGATTTCCACTCGGCCAGCTCTTATCGAGACGCGTTTCGCCAGCGCTTGGAAAGTTGATCGTGTGCGATCCGATCGAGATGCTCACGACGAGCATCGGAAACCTATACAGTGGAAGGATCACTTAATACTCTGAGCTTGGATTGGCCACAGAAGCCGCAAACTTTGCAAACACACAGACCAGGGCTGATACACTAGG